TTTCTAATTAGTTCATCGGATTATAGTTAATCCGGCCGCGCCTACCCTGTAGGCCCATTGTTACAACTATAAGAGTCGGGTTATAACAGAATACTTAAATAACTTTATAGTAGCTTATATTAATAATATTTTAATTTTCTTAAAAATATTAAAAAAATATAAGAAATATATCTATAAGGTATTATAAAAGCTATAAAATATTAAACTCTTTATTAACCTAAATAAATGCTAATTTTATATATAATAAGTTAAGTTCTTTAAATATATTATTATACTAAAAGAAGTTTAAATAAATTTAAATAAAGTTATTGCTATTTAAGATTAAAAACTTTTAAAAATTTATAAAGGATTATAAAGTTTCTTAAGACTTATTAACTATTATTAAAGATTTATTTAAAGATATAGTAAAATTATAAAACTATTAACTAATGCTATTTAACTTAAGGAAAATAAAAAAAGTAAAAAAAAATAAAAAAATAAAAAACTATTTTAGATTAATAAAATAAAGTTAATATTTTAGGAACTTAAGGATATTATTATTAATAAACTAATATTTATTATATATAACCTAAATAAGCCTATTAAAATTAAAACAGATGCTTTTAACTTTACTTTAAAAGGAACCTTAGGGTAATAAAATAAAAATAAAAGACTTAAGCTAGTAGCTTTTTTTTCTAAAAAACTATATAATCTAGAATTAAAATACTTTATTTATAATAAAGAATTTTTAATAATTATTAAAGTATTTAAAAAATAATAATATTATTATTTAAGAAATAAATATAAAATTAAAGTTTATATTAATTATTAAAATATATTTTATTTTATAACTATATAATAACTCTTTATATAATAAATTTATTATTTTAAGTTTTTAATAGACTTTAATTATAAAATTATTTACTATAAAAAAATAGAAAATAAAAAAGCTAATGCCTTAAGTTAAAAAGAAAAATATTTTAAAGAAATTCTTAAATTTAAAGTATAAATCCTATATAAAAATAATTAAAAAAATTATAAATAAATTAAAATTAATACTTTATTTATTATAGAAGAATATAATCCTATTTTTAATAAAATTAAAAATTAAATTAAAGATTAGCAACTAAAACAGTTCCTTAAGGAAATAACTATAATTAATAAACTTTTAAAATAAAGTAAATAAATTTAAGTATTAAAGGAACTATAATTAAAAGTAATTTAAGATATTTATTATAGTATAATTACAGCAGTATATTAAGGTATATAAACTACCTATAACTATATATTATACTACTATTACTTTAAAGAACTTAAATAAAAGGTTAAAGAAGTTATTAAAAAATATAATATATATAAAAAAATAAAAAATAAATAACATTAGCTATATAGGAAATTATAATTTATTTTAGTTCTTAAATAAAATTAATATACTATTATATTTAACTATATTATTAATTTACTAAAGTTAAAGAAACTATTAACTAATATAGTTTATAATAGTATCTTTATAATAGTAAATAAGCTTTTTAAATAAGCTTACTTTTTACTATATAAGAAATCCTATACTATAAAAGATTTAATATATTTCTATATAAGGCATATATTTATAAAATATAAATTACCAGTAGAAATTATATTAAATAAAAAAAATACCTTTACTTTTAAATTTTAATAAAAATTAATAATTAAACTTAATACTTATTATAAGCTAAGCACTGTATACTACCTATAAATAGATAGCTAAATAAAAAAAATAAATTAAGTTATTAAAGTATATTTATAATACTACATTAACCTTATATAAGATAATTAAATAAAAAAGCTCCCTGTAGTATAAAATTAATATAATATTTTAGTTTTAAAGTTTATAAAAGTTACTTTATTTTATATTAATTATAGATTTACACCAGATGCTTATAGACTACCTTATAATAGCCTAAATATAAAAAATGCTTAAATTTTAGCTAAAGATATAATTTAATTATAAAAAGAACTTAAAGAATAACTTAAGTTTATTTAAGATTGCATAAAGCAATAAGCTAACTATATAAAAATTAAAAAATTAACCCTTTAGAAGGAAGACATAGCCTACTTACTACAGCATTTATATAATAAAAAGCTGCTAAATATTAAAATAAATTAATTAAATAATAAACTAAATTTTAAAAAACTTAAACTATTTAAAATTTTAAAGAAAATTAAAGAAATTAACTATAAACTAAACCTACTTAATAATATAAAATTAAAAACAGCTGTTTTTTATATTTTACTACTAAAAAAGGCACTAGTAGATAAAAAAATAAGTAAACTAATTATAAATAAAATTATTATCTAGGATAAAGAAGAAAAATATAAAATTAAAAAATTAACTTATATATAAATAAATAAAGAAATAAATAAATAAGAATATTTTATAAAATAGAAAGAATATAACTTATCTAAAGATATATAGGTTTTTAAAAAAAAACTTAAGAGGAATGCTTAAGTAATCCTGCAGGGATACTATTAGTCTTTAAGGATAGAAATAATAATAGATTTAAATTAAATGCAGATTAATTAATAATAACAATAGACTGGGACAGGCCGGCAAAACTAGGCATTAATATAATAGCCTAATAAACAGCAGCCTCTGCCTCTTTATGCTTAATATAATTTAATTCCTTTAAGTCTATAATACCCTATAAAACTATATATTTTATTTTCTTATACTATATTTTTTTCTACTTATAAAAACACTTAACTTTTGCATTAGTATATTAATGCTTTTCCTTAGCTTCTTTAAGTTTATTTTTTAAATAGAAATAATATACAGCAATATACTTTAATTACTTTAAAGTTAAACCTTAGATATTATAATATAACTAGTTTAATTTAATATACTTTAAATAGTAAAAAGAATTAATAGAAAATAATAAATATTTTTAATAACCTTTAGAAATATAGAAAGAATAATATTTATTTATTTTATTAATACTAGCAATAATTAATTTAAATAAAGACTTATAATATATAGTCTTAAGATAAACTAATTTTAAAATCTTATCTAGCATAATAAAGTTAATAAAAAAAAACTAAAAAAATACTAGTAAAAAGAACTAAAGAATAACTATATTTATTAAGTAAGGGATATATTATTTATACTAAAATTTATAAAAGGTCTTGAGAATAAGACTAATAAAAGGGGAGTATTATATTATAACCTGCCTTTTATAGTTATAACAATAGGCCTATAGGGTAGGCTAAACTAGATTAATGTAAGACTAACCTATTAATTACAATAGATTATTAATCTTATAAGATAATCTATAATAGATCATTAGAATTTATAAATAATCTAGCTTAATTAACTAAATATATAAGTTTACTTCTTACCTTTATTTAAATAACTTAAATAGCCAGTTATTAATATAGTTTTATACCTATAGATTAAAAAGCACTCTTAATCCTTACTGGTGACTATTATTATAATATTATTGCCCATAGGTTTCTTAATCCATCCTCTAATATAAACCTAAAGAACTTATTCTAGGTTTATCCCTTGGGAATCTACCCTATACTAACTATCTAGTGTATGGTTTGTTATATATAAACTATAAGACCAGGTTTATCCCTTGGAAATCTTCTAAGCTACTAACTTTTATAAGACCTTTAGTAACTAGGTTGTTATAAATTATATATTATTTTTATTTTATCTATAAGTATAAAATATACATTTGCTAGCCGATGGCCTTTAGCTTATGTAACTTTATTTTCCTTTACCTTCCAGAGAATTCTTATATACTATATAAAAGCATTACCTTTTTTAAATTACTGTATTGAAATAGCTTCAGGCATGCAAATTCATTACTATTTTCGGTACTAAAAAGGAATCTTTTAGTAACAAAACTAATTTTGTTTTATTTTTTTGTTTTTTATATAGGAATTGTTTGTTTATTAGTAAATTAGTTACTAAAAATAAAAAAAATAAAAACATTAAAAAATATATTTATTATCAATATATTCTATTAAAAGTAACAATAATAATTATATAATATATAATACATATTTTATTTTTCTTATTTAAATCTTTAATTTCTAGCTTATATTATTATTATATATATAATAACAAAATTAGTAATAAAAAAATTAATAACAAAACAAATTTTATTTGATATTAACTTTTTATATATAAAAGACAAAATTTGTTTTATTACTAAAATTCTTTATATAAAAACAAAATTTATTTTGTTACAAAAACTATATTAGTTTTTAGTAACAAGACGAAAAATAAAAAACAAAAAACTAATTTTACAACCCTGCTAGTATTCGGCTTTATACCTTTATTTTCTGCAAGAGCTAGTGGACTCCGTACGGAATTCCGGATCTGCTGTCCATTAAGCGCTTGGGCGGCCCAAGAATCAACAACCTCACGGCCGAACTTACAACACCTCATCTTGAGTCAATATAGCAGAACCGTTGCTGCGGTTTTGACCCAAATGCTCAATAGAAAATTTCTAGATATTTTTGCAATAACGCGCATCTAACTCCGGCATCCTAATTGTAATATAAATGCGGGACTGGAAGGAGAAGGCATACACCCTCCCCAGGCAAAGAAGTAGGATTAATTCGTCCGGCTGTTCCAATAGATCAATAGCATCATACTCGTTTTACCAGTTTGATAAATAGATGGGCTTGGACGCTATGGGCTCGGATTTGAAGATTCGTGGGACTTCACTACTGAATATAGCCCTATCACTAACACTACCAAAGAAGGAACCGCCATCATCATTGTTGTCTCTGCGACTCGACTTTATCTAATTTAGAGATATAGACTATCCACCAAGTAAGTTGCGATGAGATTTTCTATCCACCACTAGCCTCCGGCCCGGATAAGGCTTTAGATGCAGGTAAGCCGAGGCGGAGTCGGGATTCGCGTTGGCCTGTTACGGCCGCTACGGAGTCGGGGCTTGCATTCGCCCATTGCAGCCGTAGCTCTCCAACGAAGGTCCAATGCCTCGGCCTTTCGCAAATAGAGACACTATGAAAGGCAAGTTTCCAAAAGTTGCGAGATCTATATTTATCTTACAATCGCGTCAGCATCACAGCTTGAGAAAAACATTTCACTGACTTCCATTGGCCTTGACACCGCTATACTACCACTCGCTGGACGTCGAAATAGCAATGCCACGCATAGCACCGCGGGTAGCCGAGGCAATTATACTGCCAAGCGGGCTCTCGCTGGACAATCGTCTCATCAAAGCAGCTATGGCAGAAGGTATGGCTGTTAATAGCCAACCCAGCGATGAGTTAATCAATGCCTATGCCGAATGGGCTCCTGGTGGCTGGGGCGCTCTTATTACAGGTAGGAGCTCAAGAGGAAGCAAACCCCTTTCAGAGCTGATATAAAGGTAATATTTAGGAAATGTTATGGTCGATGAGCGTCATTTGAATAGCCCCGACGACGTTGTTGCCACTGCCGGGGATGGATCGTTATCCTGCTGGACTCGCTGGGCCAAGGCTATGCAGGCAAATGGGGCTGCCGGCATCGTGCAGATGTTATTCACCCGCCTTGAATATTATTGAAATATCCAGCTGATGGTCATTCTTATAGCTCTCACCCCGGTCGTCAATCTCCAATTGGAGCGGGTGCCAGAGGACTTTGGGCAAAAACGGTCGCCCCCAGCCGTGTGCCACTGGACCTTGGGCCTGGCATCATCGCTTGCACGGCTCGTAAATTGATCTTCGGCACCCCAAGAGAGCTAGAAGAAAAGGAGATTGAAGATATCGTCGAAAGATTCGTATCAGCCGCAAAGCTGTCCCATGCAGCCGGATTCAAAGGCGTGGAGCTCCATGCTGCCCGTATGCCACCGTCCGTTGAACCTCTCCTTCGCCCCTGCTAACCGCCTGACACAGACGGCTACCTATTAGCTCAATTCCTCTCCCCAAAGACAAATCTGCGCGAAGATTCATATGGCGGAACAGTGGCAAAGCGAGCGAAAATAGTCGTTGACATTATTAAGCGCATTCGTGCTGATGTCCCGAAACCATTTTGCATCGCCCTGAAGATCAATTCAACAGACTATCAAGGAGAAGCCGGGATTTCCCAGATGATTGAGCACCTATCCCTCTTTGAAATGGCCGGTATAGACTTTCTCGAGCTTAGCGGCGGCACGTATGAGGATCCGCAGGTATTTCCCTCTTTGTCTTGGCGCTTTCTTTCTCCTCGCTTGCTCAACAAGCTGAACAATCCAGATGATGCACGGCAAGAAAGAAGATGCACCTCAGGACAAGCCTGCCCTATCTGCCCGCTCCGCCGCTCGAGAGGCTTTCTTTCTTGACGCTGCCCGATCGGTCCGCGCGCAGTTCCCAAACATTCTTCTTCTCGTCACCGGCGGGTTCCGCAGTCGTGCGAGCATGGAGGATGCCCTTGCGAGTGGGGCCTGCGATCTCATCGGCATCGGACGACCCGCTGCGGTGACTACCACTTTACCCAATACAATCATTTTCAACGAGAATCTCGAGGCGGCTGCCGCAAACTTTAAGGTCGGTCCAGCACCAGTCCCTAGATTGCTAAAGATGTTGCCGATGAGCCGGATCATTAGTGGAGGAGCCGAATCTGTAAGCGCACCCAACTGGATATCTTTGAATTCTTATAAACGGCGTTAGCTTGCTAGAACGCAACTGACAAAAATCTCATAGAAGTACTTTAGACGTCAAATTCAGCGGATTGGTAAAGGCCTCTCACCCATAGAGCCTCCTCTTGCTGGATAGTGTTGCGTTGATTTTGAACCTGGATAGAAAATAATTACAGACTTGGAAATTGAGATCTATGCGGGATGGACGTTTGGGAATACTTCCCTCGAAGATTGAATATTCAACAAACTACTTTGTTTGTTTTATTTCTTGCACTATACCTTCTTCACTTGGCGTTGATGTCCAACTTGGAAAAATACCCACCTCCGAGATCAAGTTCACTTGTCCAGATGCCCCTCTGATTATATTGGTCCCTGGCGTACTTTTTAACAAAACTTTCGCAACTGCTGATAAATTGGTATCATTGGTTTGATGATAAGCTTTTAGGAATAAATGTATCCTCTGTTCACAATATTCCTTTCGTTCAAACAACGCCACGCCATCGATGATACAAAATAGCGTTCCTATATCAGCCAATTCCCTCATAAATTGTTCTAATAGGTCCGTTAGCTTGTCGTACTCGTTCTTCTGCAGTTTGTTCATGATAAATGTACTAGAGAGTGACCTCGTGTCAAACTTATGTTGTCGCAATAGCTGATCTACAAGGTCGTGAAGCATAAATGGCCACCGACTTTGTTCACCAGCTTTGTTCATGCCAATATGTCTGCCATATGAACAAAATAAAGATAAAATATGTTGCGTTGTTCGGAGGCCTTGTGTTATAGTACTGCAGAATACCGAGAGAGGTGAGATATCTGTGAATGTCTTTGGCAGCTTTAAATTCCAGTGAACCGTTAATTTGGCCGACGCTGGGGATACTATCCAGTTGCGGAATAACTGTGTATGGACAATCTGCTCAGCCTAGACAATATATTTACCAGCTAGGAAGCCTTTCTGAATATCAATGAAAGAGACGTCAACTAGGTCGGCGTGTGAAAATTTTACCATCTAGCGTAGAGTATCTTGGTTCAAGTACCATGTATATGCTGGTGTCGGATTAATAGGCTGTGGAATCCACATGCCACTCTAGATTGTCGAGATTCTGCGTAGAGATTCATTCTGGATGGTATGGGACGTGATTGTTTTCAGGGAGTGCTTAAAGTCATAAGGTGGTCCGCTAGCTGCTTAGTTATTATTAGTGCACAGTTGCTGTACTAATTTCTGCAATCTGCTTCTGGATAGCAATATTTTACCAGTCTGCTGGCGGCCTATTGACTAGAGTGTAGTGGATTGATTATAACAGCACCTAGTCTAATACTTTGCCTATACTAATAGAGGAAATGTAGTTGCTACTGCTGATGTCTGGGACGTGGGCCACCCAAGGTACTATAAATTGCCCGAGATTGATCTTCAAGGCGTTGCTAGCGAATACAGAGGGAGGGGCGCTAGGTCGTAAACGATAGTCCACTACCCGCCGAAGTGGAAGTTATATTATAAAAACTTCTATGAAGACAAAGCTAATGTGGTCAATTATGAGAGATGTATATTCACTTTGGTTTCCTTCGAAATACCGCCGACAGGTAATTATCTACACAGCTACAATGTCTCAAAAAACTTTGGTTGTTTTAGTACCACGGTCAACCAATGTTGTTCAGTTGTCGGCATTGTCCAATCTTCTGAGCTTTCGGCACAATATACTATTTGGAGATACTTCGCTCCGCTTCAAATGTCAAGGCCCAATCATTTTTATGAAAGGATACTGAAGTTGTTGAAGCGTACTTGGACAACGCTTCCTCTCAAAAAGCAGCTGTCGCCGACGCACACATCGAGTTCGCCCTGAAAAATAGTCAATAAAGCGGCACTCCAGTAGAGATCGAGACCCGGCAGCCGAGTGCATTTTGCGAAAAATTAGTGGATTCAGGAACGAAATATATCACTTGAAGTTCTCCATTCGCTTGCTCGAACGGCAAGCCGAATCTTAGGGGCAAGCTGAATCTTAGGTAGGGGAAAAGTAATAGTTCGGTCTAGTCAATGCAAGGGAAAGCCTTAAGTACAAGGGTATTGTTGCGATAAGAAGTATTTTCCTGTTGTCCCTATCTAGCATTAGCAAAGGCAGCCTACTGGGACTGCATATGTGGAGATTATAGTTTCGGTTAGTAAAGGGGTAATATACAAGGAATTATAGCTCTATTTTAGTATTGGTTATTTTGCAATCCAGGTTATTTATAACTTATTAATGTAAAAATATTAGTCAAATGATTGTATTATTATTATCTAGTAAAAACGTAGGGGAGGAAACACCTTTTATATATATATATCATATATGTTGTTCATGTAGCTAGATGGGTTAGGACTAGTATTTCCTTGTTTAGTAACAATTCAATCCAGGGTCTATTTACACAAGCGCTTGGCTGATTTGCAGCCCAATAGCGTAAACTATATGCGTGGCGTTTAATAGATATATGTATGTCTCATAGCCGAGGACTTGTTTCTCCGGCAAGCAATCCGGCACACGTGTTTCAGGTCGCGCTTCTAATGTATGCATTTAGTATCATAGATACCTGACTTTATGTCTTCTAAGTATCGAGCTAGCAATCAGGGAAGATGCTGCAGCGGTATAACGCAGCCAGTTTGGACTCCTGCATGGAGTGCAGGTTCCCACCATGCCGTATGGACATTTCTTTTATTGGGCAGGGGATCGATCTAATATTTCTACCCCGAGACTGTATTAGAATGCCGAGCTAGACTCTGTTAAAGTTTCATGCCGGAGGTTCCTCTTGGGTGATATTTTCACGCCTATAAGTTCAGTCTTGTTCTGCTGCCATTCCCAGGCTCCTCTATATAAATAGCTGTATCTGCTTGACCACTTTCTCACCGCGGTTGACTTCACGCTGCTTAATTCTTACCCAGCAGTCCATCCAGCAGACTTTGCCGGGCGCCGAGACCGAGAATTTAGCAAAATGAGACTGGGGCTCCCGCTCTTTACCCAGGCCAACGCGGCAACGCTTGAACCTCCGAAGAGGTCAACATGTCGACAAATATTTTTGGATGGAAAGTCTTACATGGGACAGCGTCCACAAACCTCTACTTACCCCATTTCCAAAAACTCAGATTACGGTCTCCTAGACATCCAAAGCGACCTAATGGTAAATTGGCTCCACGAGCAGCAACTCCGGAAGCAATACGCCTCGGGATTTGACCCTTTCGAAGGCGTGGTGTTGAAAAAGGCACGGGGGAACTTCACATGCTGTCCTAAGCAGTTGGCGATATTCCCTGAGGGGATCTACGCTATGGTTTCGCTGATGAATGTTCGGGTAAGTCCTAGCTTGTTATACATAATATTGATCTCTCAGAATCTTATTGGAATATAGTGCGCGATGACGGTTAACACACCCGTTGTGAGTGCCATCTTGCGTAATCTCAAAACCCACAAGGTTTGTTTTGTCCCTCTCTCAGATGGGTTGCACGTGCAGGTTCTCAAGACAATGAACGACCTACCAAGATGTCAGTTACATCATTTTGCAGCCTTCATCGAAGACACTGAGATTCTGGTAGTTTGGGATGACGATCCGGAGCAGTTGCTCCAGCGCGCAGAGAAGCTTGAGGGCAAGCTTATGGAACTGATTTGGGAAGGTGAAAATACAGAAGAGAGTGAGAGCACTAAAAAGAAGAGGGTAGCCCAGGAGGCTGTCCACGAGCTTGATCCGAATGCTCTGGAGAAAGCACTCTCCGAGGAGAAGCGGCCAGTACGGCTGGAGAGTGCCTCCATGGTCGCTTGCACTCTCGCTCTCTGCCTTAGTTGTGTCGGGCTTGGATTTCGAAACATTGCGTTGGGAATAGCTATCGACGGTAATTATTCCGTCATTGCCCTAATTGCTGCCGTTCCAGCCCAGTTCTTCGTTAGTTTGGTATGTTGGTGAGATTAACAAAAAAAAAAAACGCAAGAAAAACAAAACGAGAGACAATATTTTTATATATGCTGACTATGCCTAGTTCATGTTCCAAGTTTTAGTCACCAATTTGTTTCAGGTTTTCGGACCTATCTCAGCGGTAGGCCAAAATTCGAAATACTACTCCGGGAAGCCTCCTATCCGACTCGCTCGAACAACAGGACTTCCCCATGTCACTATTCAGATGCCTGTTTATAAAGAAGGACTAGACGCTGTCATCCGGCCAACGGTCATATCCCTCAAGACTGCAATCTCGACCTACGAAATGCAAGGCGGAACTGCCAATATCTTCGTGAATGATGACGGGATGCAGGTCATTTCGGAGAATCTGAAAGAGGCTCGCCGCGATTTCTATGATGAGCATAATATCGGATGGGTTGCTCGGCCGAAAGACAATCCCCAGGGCGAGAATGGATTACCTGGGTTCCGTCGACGCGGGAAATTTAAGAAGGCTTCGAACATGAACTATGCGCTGCATGTGTCGAACAGGGTTGAGGAAAAACTTCAGAAGATATCGCGGACACCTAGATGGACGCAAGACGACGAAAAAAAAGAGTATGCCGCTTGTCTGGCACAAGTACTTGAGGAAGATGAAGGACGAACTGAGGCAGACGGTAATATCCGCATCGGAGATTACATCTTGCTGATTGACTCTGATACGAGAGTACCGAGCGATTGCTTGTTCGATGCCGTAAGCGAGATGGAGCAGTCGCCTAGCGTGGCACTCATCCAGTTCAGCTCTGGTGTCATGCAAGTTACTCGATCATACTTCGAGAATGGGTAAGCCGGATCACAACAAAATGCCTAGAGAAGTTCTAATCTGGCTTTGGTTCCTTAGAGTCACCTGGTTTACCAATCTAATATATTCATGCATCACCTTCGCAGTTGCGTCTGGGGACTCATGCCCTTTCGTCGGCCATAACGCTATACTGAGATGGTCTGCTATTCAAGATGCTGCGGCCTATATGGACGAAGATGGCTACGAGAAATTTTGGTCAGAGTATCATGTGTCCGAAGATTTCGACATGGCCTTACGCCTCCAAGTGGCAGGATACTCCCTGAGATATGCTTCCTACACCGGGGATGGATTCAAGGAAGGCGTCAGCTTAACTGTGTACGACGAGTTGAAAAGATGGGAGAAGTACGCATATGGTTGCAACGAACTCGTCTTCCATCCTTTTCGGTTCTGGATCACTAAAGGCCCGTTTACTAAACTCTTCAAGAAGTTCATTTTCTCTTCTATCCCTCTCCCAAAGAAGGTAACAATCCTAGCATATATCGGCACGTACTATGCAATTGCCTCTGCCTGGCTTATAACACTGATGAACTACTTTATTACGGGTTGGTTTCATGAACTTGCCGACAAGTACTATCTTGACTCGTTCTCCATCTACATCGCGACCGTTTTTGTCTTTACAGGGTTCGGTAATATCGCTCTGGGTGTTTTGCGTTACCGGCTCAACCAGAAGGACCTACTCCAAGCAGGTGAGCATACCGCCCTTACCATTCGATTTATAAATCCTTATTTATATGATAACAGTTTTCGAGAACTTCCAATGGGTCCCTATGTTTACTATCTTTCTCGGTGGCATCTCACTCCACCTCTCACAGGCGATCCTGTCTCACTTCTTCGAGATCGACATAAACTGGGGTGCAACATCAAAGGAGGTTGAGGATGTCAATTTCAGGAAGGAGATCTTACGCATAGTCAAAGATTTCAAGTGGACGTTCTTTTTCTGCTTCTCATGCACTGCGCTTATTATCAGCGGCTACTATGCTTTTCCATTGTTTTGGCGCATCCAGGCCTTCTATTGCATATACCCGCTTACTATAGCTATTATCGGTCACTTTGCCTTACCAGTTTTCCTCAATCCTGCGTTAATGAAATTTACTTGGTAGTATCTATGCTTGTAGTTGTTTACTTAATTAGTTTTAATTAATATATAGGTCATACTATATTATCTAAACATAGCCAATGCTTTAGTATAAATCTACTATCCCCTCTGCTATATATTAGTTAATAATATAAGCTTCCCTCCTGTAATATTTTAATCCCTATTCCTGGTATAAGGTAGCTAGTTTCTAAAGGATAAATTTTAATATTAAGTTTATATTAGCAAAAAGATATAAAAAATTTTATAAGTAGTTTTAGTTATATAGCTAATAACTTTAAATAAAAATTTAATTTATATATTATTTAAATATTATATTAATAATTAATTATTTAAGTTATATTTAATAAATATAATAAAAAATTTTATATAGTAAATAGTATTATTAAAGTAAATAAAAATTAATTATATAAAATTAAGCTTAAGAATATTAATAATAGCTTTTATTTTATAATAATATTTTTTATAAATTTTATATAATAATAAATTAAAAAGCTATTTTTCTTTTATAATAATAAATAATTAATATTATTAACTATATTGAAATTTAATTTTCACTTTTTATACTATTACAATCCAGGTCTTGCAAGAAGAGTAATAGAGGATTAAGTAAGGCTAGGTATATTTTTATTGCTAGATAGCTGCTAGATATTATTAAAAAACTATATTTATCTCTGCCTTTTTTTTATTTTTTATAAAAGAAAGTCTTTTTTTTTTATACTTTTTTTTTTATAGTAATTAGCTTTTAGCTAATTATATTAGGCCTTTTATTTTATATCCTTAGCTAAAGATTTAAAGTTTATTAGTATAGTATAGAATATTTATTTAAGCTTAAAGGATAATAGTTAATTTCTAGCTAGTTATATTCTAGCTTTTTTATTATTTAATATACTGCTTTTTTTTTATAGCATTAACCTAGTTCTGCTTAAATATAACTTATATAGCTTTTTAGATTTATAAATAAAGAATACCTTATTAAGTAATATTTTATAAATAAATAAATTAAATTTAAATATAATTTAATAATAACTTTTTTTATAATTTTACTTTTTTTTATTTCTAGAAATATAAAATAAAGTAAATTTTTTTTATTTTTTTTTTATTATATTTATTTTTATATCTTTTATTAAGCTTTTTATTAAGTAGTATTTTTACTATAGCTAGAATATAAGGTATTATTATTAAAGATAGAGGCAAGTAAATAACTTATTAGAATTTTTAAATACTAGATTTATAATTAATATAATAATATATACTTGCTTAATGCTTTTTATAACTTAATATTAACTAGCTTTTAAAAAAAACTTTTATTATTATTATATATATTATTATTAATATTAAAAACTAGGTATATGTTACAACCTAATACTTAAGGTTATAATAATAAGCCTACTGGGTAAGTATAAATAAATTAACTATAATCTATTAATTAATTATAGACTATTTAATAAAATCTATTATTAAGTATATTAAGTATAACTTAATAAACTTAACTATTAAATATATTAAAGACATTTAGTTAATTAAATATATAAGTTTACTTTTTATACTTTTTTTAAATAACTTAAATAGCTAATTATTAATATAGTTTTATATCTATAAATTAAAAAACACTTTTAATTTTTACTAGTAACTATTATTATAATATTATTGCCTATAGGTTTTTTAACTTATTCTTTAATATAAACCTAAAGAACTTATTTTAGGTTTATCCTTTAAGAATTTACCTTATATTAATTATTTAATATATAGTTTATTATATATTAATAACTTTTATTTAAATAGTTACTAGATCTATAGGTAATAATAGAAATATAGTAGGCAATAGTTAATAAAAAATTACTTTTATAAATAAAAAGACTTATAAATAATATCTATTACTTACTGTAGAGCAGGCAGTAATTAATTTGCTTTTTATATAAATTAAAAAACTAAAAGATTAATTAAAGAATAAAAAAAAAAAAAAAAAATTATTAAGCTTAAATAATTTAATAATTTTAATAAAAATACTTTAAAAATAAATAAATTCTTTGCTAAATTAAATATTTATTTTAGTTACTTTTTAATTAATTTAGGAGATAATAAAGATTAAGTTCTTTTTATAATTAACTGCTTTATAGAAACTGCTGCTAAATAGTTTAGGTTTATTTTAATAGACTATAATGCTATAAAGGAAAAATTTATTAAAATAAAGATTTAAATAAATAAGATTTTTAATAATTATAAAACCTTTAAAGATTAATTAAAAAAATCTTTTAGAATTATAAATAAAGAATAAAAAGTAAAAAAAAAACTTAAGTTTTTATAATAAAAAAAAGCTTTATTTAAGTATACTATTACTTTTTTATGCTTGTTTATTAAAGTTAATTAAACTAAAGAAATAAAAAAGGAAGTTTATTATAATAGCATTAAGTTTAAAGTTAAAGATAAATTATTTAAGGAGAATTAAAGTAAAATTAGATTTATTAAATATATTTAAAAGGCTATTAATATTAATAACTATAATTTTAAAAAGAGCTAAGAATATAAACTAGAGAAATATAGCTATTAATTAACTTTTTAATAAAAATCTTAATATTATATAAATTAAAGAAAGAAATAAAAAGAATATATTATAAAAGATAATAAAACCTAACTTAAATAAATAAACCTTAATATTATTAAAATAATTAAGTTTAAAGGAAAATGTTATTTTTATAGTAAATTAGGCTATAAAGAAGTATATTACTACTTTAAGAAAAAGCAAGAAAAAAATAAAAAAAGCCTTAAATAAAATAATAAAATTAATAAAGCCTAAATAAATACTATTATTAAACTACTTTATAATAACTTTAGTTAAACTGCCTGTTATAATAATATATACTTTATATATAGAAGTAATAAAGATAAATTAAAATACTACTTAAAGAAGCTAAAGAAAGTAAAATTTTAAAAAAAAGTTAAAATTAATATTTTAATCTTTTATAAGCTATTTAGCAATAAAGATTTAAATTTTAATATAAAATTAATTTATAAATACTATAAATTTATTAATACTATTTATAAGTATAATAAAAAGTAAGTAATAATTTAAAAAGAAAACTATAACTATAATAACTGCTACTTATAAAACTTTAACTATAAATGCTAAAGATGCTTAAACTATAGATCTATAGAAGGATATTAATATAATTATAAAAGTAAATAATAATAAAATATAAAAGCTATATATAAACTTTTTAAAAAAGAAAATAAATTAGCTAAAGATTACCTTAAAGAATAAAAAAAAGTATAATTTATAAAAAAATAAAAACTCTTAAATAAAGAAATTAATAAAAATAAAATTATTTATAATAAAAGCAGAAGAATTTATAAATATAGTTTTTGTAAAATTAATAAAAAACATTAGCAGTAAATTAATACTTTTTTAAATATATATTTTTTTATAAAATATAAAGCTACCTTTAAAAATATATATAATAGTAATAATATTAATAATAATAAATATTATTAATATAGTTTTTAAAAATTATAATATAATAAAACTTACCTAAAGCTTAATAAAAAAATATATAAATACTTATAATATTATTTATAAAATATAAATTATTATTATAAGGAACTATAAAAGTTAAATAAATTAATTTTATTTTATATATATTAATATAACCTCTATTACTCTTAGGGCTTTAATTATAACTATAAAGGATATAATATCTGTAAATTAATAAATAAAAAATATAACTGTATATATGTTTTAAAAGTATAGGTAAAAGAAAAAGAAAAATAAAAAAAAAAATAATAGTATTTTAAAGAATATTTACTATAGAAAATAAGTTTAAAATAAAAATAAAAATAAATAAAGACTATTAAATTAAACCTTAAAGATATTTATATTTATATTTTAATTTATAATATTTTTAATACTTTTAATAAAAACTATAGAAAATATTATTAAAAGGAATATAATAATATATACTATTAAATATATATATTTAATAAATTAATAAATTAGTAGAGTAAGTAATTAAAAAAAGTTAAAGTATAAAATTATTTAATAAATTACTTTTTAAATTATAATATATAATATTATAGAAAATACTATAAGAAAAAATACTAGTTTTATTAAATAATTTAAAAACTTTTATAAAGAAACTATAACTTTAATAATTACTTAAATAAAAGATAAGGAAATAAAACTTTAATTAAAAAATATTATTAAATAATTAAAAAATAAAATAATTAAATTAAATGCTAATAGTATAAGAAATATTAATTTAAAATATAGTAAAAAAGCTTTTTAAATATAATTATTATTAACTTAATTAAAATATTTAAAAAGAAGTTA